GAAGGGTGGAGGGCGTGAAGGGAGGGCTAGGAATGGGGAAAAAATAAGAACCAAGATGCATTATATAAAGGTACAATTCCCAATTAGAAATGTAATTGTGTTGTATGCCTACAATGTACCAATAAAAGAATTTAATACAAAAAGAAAACCCTTTGTAGGACCTAAATTGTATTGTCATACACACAAACTATTACCGCTGCTACTACTACTACTATTACTATTAATAATAATAATAGTAACAATAAGAATGAAAACTGGGAAAGGGGATTCAGAGGAGTGACAGAGAAGTGGATGGGTAGGGAAAGGGGATTGCAAAAGAATCAGGCTGTGTTATGTACATGCATCTACTTCCTAAGATGAATATAAACTTCATGTACTGGAAAAATGTACTAGAAAAAAAAGAAACTGCCATAAGCTATTTGGTCTTCTTTCTACCTTTTATTCCATTTTCCTGGGTACTCCAAGGTATATTTCATTTTTGTTCTTATGAGGCCCATTGTAGGGCTCATTTAGAAGGCACTACACAGCTAAAGATCATGGCCAGGTAAAAACACATGACCTCAGACTTCTGAGATTCTCACTAGTTCTCAACCATCTTAAAAGGGGGAAATGGGAAAAATATTTTTAATAAATATGAGCTTGTGGTGGGAAGAAATGAAGTCCTTAAGTGCAGCCAGTTTTACCCAGATACTTGCTTGTGCTAATACATAGATAGAGTGATTGAGTTAGTTTTGGGGCCACAGGGGCAGAGCATTGACTTAGTCACACTCCTGAGCATCACCACTGTTGTTGATCTGAAGTTTCTCAAACTCAGGTCAAATGCTTGCAGCAGACTGATGTTCCCAACAAGGGTTAAAGATTTAGAAAAAGTAGAATGAAAAAAATTTTAAGGCACTAGAGAACTTGTGATCAATCAATATTTAAAAGACAAAATCCAAGAAAAATGAGATGTTAGCCAACATTTTGCAGGGGTTTTTATCCTTGGGACATTGCCATTATGAGGCATGAGGTTGGAAATTCAATCTGTGAGGGATAATTCACTCTGTGCACCTCTCCTAACTTCTGATGGTTGCAGGCAATTGTTACTGTTCCTTGGGTTATAGACACTAAGCTCTGCCTCTGTCTTCACATCTACTCTGTGTGTCTTGTTTCCTTCTCTTTTAAGGCACTTGGCATTGGATTAATGCTCACCATAATGGATAATGCATGATCTCACCTGAAGATCTTCAATTATGTCTGTAAGGTTACATTTGTAGATAGACCTATGGTTATAGATAGACCTTTTCAACCCACCTCAGAACATAAATGAAAGTAATTGTCCACAATGATCTTTTGAATATAACTTCTGCATTCACTATGTTTAAAATCTCCTTGGGTAAAGTGAAATATATTGAAATAATATAATTAGAGGATAAGACATTACCTGCTAGAATATGAAAATGAGAAGTATAATTAAACAGTAATAGGTTATCAACAAACTATTTCATAAGCTAAGAAAAACATGATTTCTCCTATCTTCTCTTTTTTTAAATCTTCTTTTTTCACCTCTCTTTTAAAAAAACTTTGTATATACTTTTACCATTGTTCTCCTATTTTTCTTCTCTTGTAAGATAAGGAGAGACAGAAAGGGAAGAAATATGAGATTCTGAGAATTTGGAAATCTTTCATAGATCTGTCATAAATCTTGGAATTTCTTTGGCACATACACCCACACATATATACATCATCCTTTTATTTAAGTAGTCTGTAACTTACAAATGCATATCTAAAACTATGCCCCCAAAATATCACTCAAACCATAGGAACTTCAAAAGTATATTCAAAAGATCAGTGTGTACAATTACTTTTACTTATATGTTCTGTAGTAGGTTGAAAGTTTCTTGGTTCTCTACAGCTTAAAGCACAGAGTCCAAGCTCTTCCACAAGGCAGGCACAGACTCTCTGATCTGGCCTCAGTGGACCTCACCACCTCATACTCCATCATTTCTTTTTACCCTCTGCTCTAGAAATGTAAAAGTTATTTGTTTCCTGGATACTTGAAAGTGAGTGCTTTGCCCCCAGCCCATTACTATTGCCACCCTTTCTCCATACAATGCCCTTTGCTCATTTCCTCTTGCCTAACTTAGCTATTTCAAATACACTTAGAATGTAAGATTGGCACATCTGGCTGGCGGTTCTGTACAGGGCCTAAGCAGGAAAAGGGCCAAGTGTGATCACCCAAGAGAGGTGAAAATACAGGACAAAGAAAATACTTAAGGGGAAATTCTAAAGTAGACTGGGTAAGATGGATTGGAACAAGTGTTTGCTTTGAACAGGAGGGTCAGTGCTGCCTTGGGTGCTGGCTTGTCCTTTCTTCTTCTTGAGCTGTGGGTTTGAGATGTTGGATAGACTCTGCTGTAATGTCACTTGTCCACAGAAACCCCAAGGGCTGTCTTCTTAGTAAACTTGGATCTGCTTTGTTATAACCACATACTAATTGTTCTGTTTGATCTGACAATGCATAGTGCAGACATATGAACAGAAGTTTCAGGCATGTGTGAGTATCAGCTCTCCATGGTCTGATCTGGGCTTCTTAGAAGGAGAGCTGGTCAGGGCAAGCTGTGGAAAAAGTTGGCAGAAGAAGTAGTGCTTGCCTATAATTTCATGGCTATGTGGAGGCAGAGATCAAATTTTAAAAAAACCTGTTTCTGTGAGTGTACTAAGGGTGTATGGGAAAATTGTGTCTAAGTAGTCATCAAAGCAAGCTGAGCCTGAAGTTAGTGCTAGTATTGCCTTACTGAGCCTGGGTTTCAGAAAATGAGAAAAGATAAGGGAAAGGACCTTTAGTCCAGAGTAAATACATAGGAGTGGACAAACACGTAGTACCATAGGCTGGGAGTAGACTTTGCCATGTCCCTGGAAATGTCATACATAGAATGCAAAGATGCTTTTCTGGATCTGAAACAGCACGGACAAATGCAAGACCTCCCAAAAGCCCAGTAGTGGCATGAGTGGCACGTGAGTGTGTCATTACCAGGGTTCTTCAACACAGTCTGGATGGTCCTCCACTGAGGATCGTTAGAGAGGTGTCCATGCAACCAGAGAGATGGTGACACTAGATGACATCTGAGTCTCCTCCACTCAGAAATTTCCTGAGTCTGCTGTGGTCCTCACAACATCCTTGACATTGTTTTATTTAGATCAGGGTTGCCAAAAGAAACTGGCAGATTTCGACTTTGTTTTTCCTCATAACTTGAAAGGAAGATTTATATTGACTGAAATAAGCTTATGAGCCCTTAAATTGATGTCAGTCTAACAGGAAAATGAAATGTTTTGGAGTTAAAGTTATGTATTCCAAGTGGTATCTTTTAATATTTGCTGGAAATTAATTTTTAAGCCCTTTTGTCATGAAGGCATTACTTGAACAGTATTTACCAAAAGAAGAGATTGGAGTAAATGTCATGTTTACAGAATATTAGTGGACTCTATTGCAATTCCATGAATTTAATGAGGTTTTTTAAAAGTTAATGAGTTTATTTCATAGGTAGCTAGAGGTTTTGAGTTTTGTCTCTAAGCTTCTGGGAAATTGCTCAGCTTATTTCCTGATTTTATAAGGGTATTTAGGCATTAATCTCTGAAGTCATTTGTGTGTGAGAACAAGAAAATCTTTAATAACTCAACTTATCCTAGATATTCTGGTAAATGTGAAGAGTACATTGAATCATGTGTAATGAAATTAGTTAATCTTGAAGGATTATGGATTTGGTCATATAAGAAGGCAGCTATTTTTAATGAGCTATTTTCAATGAGACTGGTAGTTAATCTTGAAAGATTATACATATGGTGATATGTATAAAAAAGAAGCAAACATAAAAGTACCCTTAGTTTACAGACAACTAAGGAGATCATAAACAAAGTATAAACCAAAGATGTATTTAGGAGACTAATGTTTTATAGTTAAGCTCAGAATACATTTCATTCTGGTTAACTTGGCACAGAACAATATCACTTCTGAGTATCATTTATTGTGTGTTCTGTGAAGATATCACTATAGTAGCAAGATCAATGTACTAGAAGTATTAGAACTTTATATCAGCTCCAGTTCCTACCCTCAAGATGTAGTGTTTTCTTAGTGGTACAACATGGCTGCCATTGTTGTATGTAGGGCTTTTGGTGACCTGTGCTTTTCAGTGCATTTGCATAATAAAACTCTCATCGAATTATGGTTCAACGAAGTGGAAAGTCTGAACCTAATTTGATTTGACATTTGTATACTGAAAGGTTCTGAAATATGTCTCCTCCATGTTGCCAGTTGCTAGTTTTACACAAAGATGGTCTGACCTTTTCTGGAATACAGTGATGAAGTTAAGACTTAATTTTCCTTAAGGGAAAGAAAGGAAAGAAGAATGAAGAAAGGAAAGAAGGAAGGAAAGAAAGAAGAAAAAAAAGAGAAAAGAAAGACAATTCTATAATGTTGTAAGTTATAAATTTGACCTATTCTGCATGTTCTTTGCTTTGCATTGTCAGGATTTGTCCCTACTGTTGTATATTATAAAACATACAACTTTTATCTTTTTATGGGCTTACTGACCAAGAGCTCTGTTGTGAGTTATTAAGGTATGCAGGCCTGATTTCACAGCTGCCTGAATGTGTCAGACTCAGCCTATACACAATTTCTCTCTGTTACATGAATTGGCCGAGTTGGCAAATGTCCATTGTTCTGTAAAGGCCCTGCTATGGTTTGAATGTGTTCCATCCGAAAGTCAGGTTTGAAAGTTAATGAGCCATATAATATTAAAAGGTGGGACCTGCACGAGGTGATTTAACCATGGAGGCCTCTTCCTCTCGAATGGGATTAAGGTCCTTACAGAAAGAGGCTTTGGGCAGCATTCATCTTTCTTGTCCTTCCACCTGTGCAATGTGAGGATGTGTGCACCTCTTCTCTAGAGCATGCAGAAACAGGGCACAATCTTGGAAGTAGAGAGTAGCCCTCACCAGACACCAATCTGCTGGCAACTTGATCTTGGACTTCCCAACCTCTGGAGCCATGATAAATAAATTTCACCTGTTGTATTTTTTTATAGCACCACAAATGGACTAACACAGGCTTACTCTCACTCTAGGTTCCTCAACATTTGAGTGGACAGCTAAATCTGAAGAGACACCAAGTTTGCAAAAGCCCTTGAAGATGAAGAGATTTGTCCTTTTCTTCTCTTGTGCTTGCTAATTTTTATTTTGTGACATGGCTACATGTTCATTGAGTTTATTTAGTTTTGTTGAGTCACTTGATTGATTCAAAGGAGTTAATGTCTTTGCATAGGTAATTAATCCCTTTACTCATTAAATTAAATTTTCTTATCTAAAATTTGAAACAATAAGTACTGACCCTCCTCATCTTTGTGCTCAACTAGAATTGTTGAGTATTTATGTAGGAGGGGAGGCAGATTTCAGAGAGCATATTTGTAAGTTATTAGGATTAATAATACCATACCTTAGGGCACCAGAACCCTAGAATGATGGTTACCAGAGGCTAGGAAGAGGGAGGACTGGGGAAAGCTTGGTCAGTAGGTGCTAAGTTATAGTTAGATAACAGAAATAAGTTCTCATGTTCAGTTGCACAGTAAGATGACTATAGATAATAAGAATGTACTATATTTCAAAAAAAGTTATTGGGAAATATTTCATGACATTGGAATTGGCAAGATTATTTGGATAAGACCCCTAAAGCATGGGCAACAAAAGTAAAAACAAGGAATTAAGATTAAATTAAAAATTTCTGTACAACAAAGAAAACAATGAAGAGAATGCACAAATAACATATTGGGAGAAAATATTTACAAACTATAAATCTGATAAAGGGTTAAGATCCAGATTATATAAGGACCTCAAAGAACTCAAAACAAAACAAAAGGGCAACAGACCAAAATAGCTGTTTCTCAAAAGAAGACATAAAATGGCCAAGAAATATATTTAAAACTTCTCAATATTACTAATCATCAGGAAATGAAATCAAAACCACAATATCACCTTGTTCTACTTAGAGTGGCTATCATAAAGAAGACAAAAGATAACACTTGCTGATGAGGATATGGACAAAAGAGAACCCTTAGACACCGTTGAGTAGAATTTACATTAACACAGCTGTTATAAAAATAGTGTTGAAGTTCCTCAAAAAATTTAAACTACAGCTACCATTGATCCAACAATCCCACTATCAAGTATATATCCAAAGGAAATGAAATCAGTATGTTGAAGAGACATCTGCCCTTCCAGGTTTATTGCATCATTATTCATAATAGCCAAGAAATGGAAATAATGTAAGTGTCCATCAATTGATGAATAGATAAAGGAAATGTGTGTATAGACACCACTGAATATTATTCAGCCATAGAAAAGGATGGTATCTTGTGATTAGTGACAACATGGATGAAACTAGAGGTATGTTGTAAAATAAGCCAGAGACAGGAAGACAAGTACTACAGGATCACACTCATATGTAGAATCTTAGAGTTGATCATAGTAAGGTTGAGTGTAGAGTGATGGTTACTAGAGGCTTGGAAGAGGGAGGACTGGGGAAAGGTTAGTCAGTAGGTGCTAGGTTATAGTTAGATAAGTTGTGTTCTTTGTAGAGTAAGATGACTATAGATAATGAGAAGGTACTGTTTTTCGCAAAAAGTTATTGGGAAATATTTTGATTATTTTTCACCACAAAATGATAAATGTTTGAGAAGATAGATGTATTTACCCTCATTTGCACACTACATAATATAAGTAATGAAGCATCATACAGTACCCCATAAATGTGTACAATTTATACGCGAATTACAAAATTTAAAAACACAGTGAAATATATACACATAAATTCTAGTAACTTATTTTGTGGATATTGACAAACTAATTCTACAGTTTATATGCAGAGTCAGAGAACTCAGAACAGCTAACACATTTTTGGAGAACTGATATTACCTGGCTTTGAATCTTACTAACTAAGGAATTATGTCAGTGTAGAGCTGGTGAAGAAATGGACAAATAGATCAGTGGATCTGATAAGAAAGCCCAGAGAGAGAGAGAGAGAGAGAGAGAGAGAGACTCCCATAAACACAGTCAGTTGATCTTTGACAAAGGAGCAAAGGCAATGCAATGGAGCAAAGACACTCATTTCTACAAATAGTGCTTGAGCAACTTGGCATCCATGTGCAAAAAAGAATTTAGACTAAAGTTTTATATTTTCCCCCAAATTAACTCAAAATAGATCTTAAACTTATATTGTAAAACTATAAAATATAACTAGAAAATAACATGAGAAAAAACTATATGACCTTGGGTATGGTGATGACTTTTTAGATAAAATATCAAAGGCATAATCCATGAGAGAAATAATTGCTGAGCTAGATTTTATTAAAATTAAAAACTTTATTCTGAAAAGCAGTGTCAAAAGAATACATGCTGTGGTCTGGGAGGAAATATTTTCACAAGACAGATCTCATAAATGACTTATTTGAATGTATAAGGAACTTTAAAAATTCAACAATAAGAAAACAAACAACCCAACTAAAAGGGCTGGGGATTTAGCTCAGTGGTTCCAGGGCCTGCTTTGCAAGCGCAAGGACCCGAGTTCAATCCCTGGTAACCCCCCCCCCCAAAAAAGAAAAGAAAATGTACAACCCAATTAAAAAAAGAATCAAAGACCTTGAAAGACGTCACATCAAGAGAGATATACTCATAGTAAATAACCATATGGAATGCAAACTAAAACAAAAATGAGATACCATTCCTCAGCAATTAGAATAGCAAAAATCCAAACCACTGACACTGTCAAATGTTGGTAAGTGTACGGGATAGCAAGAAGTCTCATTCATTGCTGATAGGGAAGTAAAATGTTGTAGCCACTTTGGCAGATAATTTGACAGTTTCTTACAAAACTGAATATACTCTTATCATATAATCCAGAATTTGTGCTTCTTGGCATTTACCAAAAGGAATGGAAATCCTCTGTTCACATACAGAAACCAAAGACACAAAACCTGCATATAGATGTTTATAGCAGCTTTTTAAAATAATTGCCAAAACTTAGAAGATATCAAGATATCCTTCAAAATGTGAGCAAATAAACCAATCAGTTCAAGCAATAAAATATTATTCAGCAATGAAAAGAAATGAGTTATCAAGCTATGAAAAGTCATGTAGGAATATTGAATGAATATTACTGCATGGAAGAAACCAATCTGAAATGGTTGCATACTATGTAATTTCAACTATATTACATTCTGTAAAACATCAAACTATGGCAATGGGAAGATCAGTGTTTGCCAAGAGCAGGGGGGATAAATTGGCAAGCACAAAGGATTTTAGAACAATGAAAACACTCTATATGATACCATGATGGTAGACATGTGTCATCACACATTTGCTCAAACCCATAGAATACATAAGAGAGAGGGAGACTTGCAGTAATAACTATGAACTTTGGGTGATGATGTGGAATTTCGCAGCTTCACCAACTGTAACAAATGTACCACTCAGATGGTGGATGTTGATAATGGGAGAGGCTGTACATGTGTAGGGGCACAGGGTGCATGGGAAATCTCTGTACCTTCCTTTTCAAGTTTTCTGTGAACCTAAAATTGATCTAAAAACATAAAGTTGTAATAAAACATTATTAAATATCTACCCCCTAAAATACTCACTATTCTTCCTAACTCTTGTCCCAATAAGAAGCTTCCACCAGAACTGTACTTTAGAATACAGATCCTAAAAATATCTATATGATATATATCTTTCTGTTTTCTTCCCTTCCAGTTATCATATTAATGATTAATATATATTAAGTAATGGTACCTATCGTGAGATGTTGTAGCCATTAGAAAACAGATTTATCTGTCACTTTTCTGAATTTATCACTGAAGAATTAGGCCTGAAGCAAAAAAATTCACTGGGCTCCTATTGAATTCTAAGGTCTGAATTGAATGTGGAGAATGATGATAACTGGAATTGAAAACAGATTTAAGAGGGAAAATTATTTCAGCTATTTCAGCAAGAATGATCCAGCCTGGAAAGGGCTAGTAAGGACACTTATGATAGTTTTATATATATGAAAACTATTTCAGCTCTGCAAATGGTTTGCAGAAATGAGAGCAGTGCCACAATTGTGTTTGGTCTATAAAGCCTGTGATGGCTCCTTCACCAAGTGTTCTTTCTCTTGCTTTCCATCAAATCTCACATTTCAACATGGTCAGTTGACCTTTTTCTTGAAAGACAAATGGTTCACAGAGCCTGGGACATGGCAGTGGGGTGGCTCAGAATGAGGAGATCCATAGCCATGTCATCTGTTTGGGAAAGTGAACAGAGCCTGGCAAACAAAGTGTGTGTGTGGGTGAAGCAGAGGAATTTCTAGGAGGCTTAACTTCTGGTGACAGGAGAAGGAAGAGGCTGAATAAAGTTGTGGTGAGTCTTAGGCTTTCTGCACGTTTCCTCTTTTCTCTTCCTCAGAGATTTTCTTCTTGAGAACAGCAACTGACATATGGCATTGCCTTTCCGGCCTCTCAGCCAGATGACTTACTTTTTTTTTTGGTAGTGCATGTTTGCAGTCCATAAATGACTACTTGTATTGTGGGTATTTGGTATGTGTACATGACACATCTCAATTCTTTTTATGTCCTCTTCCCCTCCTGCCTCCCTCACATGACCTATTTTGATGCCCCCTTTAGCCTGTGTTCCTATTGGAAGCTGCCTTCACTGTGTTTTCCAGCACTGAATTCTAGAGGATGAAATTTGATGGTTCCAATTATCTTTTCCTATCCGTCCATCTGGACTGACATGTTTTTAAAGGAATGCCCTACTGATGCAATTGGCTGTTGCTGAGTATGGCTTGGGTCATATGGTACAAATGTGGGTAGTTGTTTCATGGGGCTGTGAGTGGGCAGTTTCCCTCAACAGGATAGGTGGGTGACAAACCTCATAAATCTAGTAGTAGTGCAAACTGACAGTTATACATGTTGGGAATGGCTTTTGTTTCCACCCCAATCCTTTTGCTTTTTTCCCCAATGTTTCAACTGAAACAAAATTTTGTAAGTTAAAAATTTCTACTTATTTTCCAGAAGATGAAAAGAGATTTTTCCATATGTAAAGATTTTTCAGGTGTGCTTACTCCACAAAAGAAAATGTCAGGGCTAAACAACCTCACTTATATTGTATAGCATGAAAAATGCTAGTTGAAAGCTAAACTACTGTTTGGGGTCTTCTACTAA